GTCAGGCACAAACCCCCCCAGGTTCTGTACACCCCTACAAAGAGATGGCATGTCCTCGCCCAGCGCCGTTACCGCAATTAGCACACACATCCCTTTGCCAGGGAAAAAATCTCCTCGCAACCTCTGTCCTGTGAAGGAGAACCTTATATTTATCCATACCCATTGAATGAAAACCTATAGTATTTATTAGTTTTTGCATAAGCAGCAATTAACAGCTAGAAATAATGAAATAAATCATTCTGTGGTAAGTCCTGAGTCCACCAAACCTCAGAGTGGATCTGCCAGGGGAAGGGAGCGAGGAGGGAGGTGTGGGCTGAGTGCCCTCTGCTGGGGAGAGTCCCTGCCAGCCGGAGGAACAGCTTATTACCCCACTAATTACTCATTAACTCGGCTCCCTTCATTCTGTGCATTAAGTAATGCCGTAAAAGCTGTGATGATGTCATTCCCTGCCCTGGAAAGCATGGCTGGGGGATACTGGTCTCTGCAGCCCCCATCTCCTCCCGGTGGGGATGGGATGGATGGGAACAGTGAGCTGTGCTGGTCTGGGTTCCAGATGCTTGTGCATCGTTATAGCTGCTGACTAATTAGTACAGTCATAAGTTAACTCAGTGGTCTCGTGCCACTATACTATATATAGTGCTTTTCACTGTCACTATATATATGTGTGTGTGTTGTCCCTTCTTAAACAAGTTATAAATCTGTTTTAAATGGCTTTTTTCTCTTAACAGTAGTTATAAATCTGTTTTAAATGGCTTTTTTCTCTTAACATATACGACTAATTAGTACAGTCATAAGTTAACTCAGTGGTCTCGTGCCACTATACTATATATAGTGCTTTTCACTGTCACTATATATATGTGTGTGTGTTGTCCCTTCTTAAACAAGTTATAAATCTGTTTTAAATGGCTTTTTTCTCTTAACAGCTTGCAACAGTTTAAAATTTAAGATGGGAAGGCTGTCTGATATTTGAACGCTTTCTTAGTCTTCTAAAAAGGAAGAATACACTTCCAGCAAACCCATGATCATGTAGCTGTGCAAACACTGTTACAAGTTGACAGATGATTTTCTGCGAGATCTTACGACTATCCTTTTATGTGTAAAGTTCTTTTGTTTTTCCCTTTGACCAGGGTACATCATTTACTACAGTACGGACGTGAACGCCGAAATACACGACTGGGTTATCGAGCCTGTCGTGGGCAACAGACTGACCCATCAGATCCAGGAACTGACCCTCGATACGCCCTATTATTTCAAAATCCAAGCCCGCAACTCGAAGGGCATGGGGCCCATGTCTGAGGCCGTCCAGTTCCGAACCCCAAAAGGTAAACTGTCACCTCTATCTCAGTGTCTTCCTCCTCGTGTTCCAAATGCAGCTTCTCTAAGGATGAGGTACATAGCATGGATTTTATATTTAAACTGGAAAGACAGGAAGACAGTGGAGTTTGACTGGAATGAATTTTTCTAGTGGGTTGCTCTTGTATGTAGTTCGTACATATGCAGATGTTGCTCAGCTGTTTGATTAATTGTGGTGTTTTAAAATTACTGGTGGGCATTTAGACCCTGTAGTTGTTAATGCTGAGGGTCTGCATCTTAAAAGTGCTTTTTAGAAAACCAGTTTTCAGTTGGTTTAAGATTCTGGGTCTTGTGCGCCACGTCTGCTCCCAGTGAGACGGAGGGAGACCCTGGGGCTGGCAGGATGGGAGCTGATGGGACCTCGTGGGGGGATGGATTGGGAACTGGTGTGACACTGTGGGCTCCACAATCCAGAGCTGCTTGGTGATGGGTGATGACTGAAACAGTGTGAATGCAGGAGAGCTTGGGAAAAAGTACTCTAAGGAGAGGGGAAAAATAAAAAGTTAAGAGGAGATTTTGTAACAGTCCTTTTTCCAAATGGGTGTCGGTGGTTAGAAATGAGAGCTCAGCCAGTCCCCTGCTGCTCTGTGAAACTTGAAATTCTGTCTCTTACTCCTTCAAGCCTTGTGATCTTTCTCTTGTTTTTTCCTTCCCTGTGCCTGTCCCACTAGCTGAATCCTCAGATAAAATGCCTAATGACCAAGGTAAATGAAGAGCCGCGCTTTCGCTTTTATTCTGTCTTCACGCATTTTGTTTTTCCTGTCCATGTGCTGTTGCATTTCTTAAATGAAACAAGTGTCTGTAACTGTAAACGAGCAAGTTCCTGTTGTGCTATTAATAGTGGAAGAACTGGAAGTCCTATTTGTGGTTTGGGTGTTGGGAATAGAAAGCGATCCCTGTAGTCAGATGTCAGATGAAGGGACAGGTGGGTCGTGCCAGGGCTGAGTCATTCTGTCCCAGGGAATTGGGATGCAGCGATGCTCCGGCCTCTGACCACTGATGCCAGATCTGGGTACACAGAGGTGCAAGATCAAGCAGTTACCTAATTAGCCCAAGTGCTGTTTTGTGAGCTCGACATCTGTAATTATTTTGATAATAAAGGAAAGCATGTGTGCTCTGGAAAGCTTTTTTGCAAGAGCGAATCTGCTTGTCAGCTCATTTGGACTCCAGACTCTCCCAAAGAGCACAGCATTAGCTACTAAAAGCCTTAAGGTTTTAAAATGTTAGCTTGAAAAATGGGAGCTTTGAGTTTACTACATTGAATTATAAGGTGAACGTCCCAGGGCTGTTTTTGCTTTCTTCTGAATAACGTACAAGCCCAATAAAAAGGGAAGAATTAGTCTAAAGGGATGAGTTTAAAAGGAGGTTGGCAAGCAACTCAGACAGACAATTAAATAGGTCCTAAAGGGGTTGAGAAAGAGCTTCTTTTTTTTGACTTGCTTTTCAACTTGTTACTTCGATGTCATTTATTAAATACGCTCTTACCTTCTGTCTACCAAATAGTGCTGAGACCAGGCAGTTATGGAGTAAATTCATACCCAGGCTCGTGTGAGAGAGATGCTGGAGAGACGCAGTTTGTCAGCGGGGAGGCAGATGCTCAGCTGCACGGGGAGGGACTAAGGGAAGATTAAATGGTTTTATTGAAAAGTTGCTGTTTTCTCCTCTGCGCTATTCTAACCTCAGCAGAGAGCTAAATCTTCTCATTCAGGGTTATCATCTTATACTCAGATATTTTTTCTAGTAACAATTTGATTAAGCTTTATAAAATTATAGAACTTATAACTCATAAAACCCTACAAAAAGCCAAGAGAGTTTAGTTTCAGAATTCCTGTGAGCATACTGACTCCAAATCATGGCAGTGGGCTACAAGTAGAAGAGGAGCAGACAAGCTGAAGAGCTGGAGCCTGCTCTGTGACAAGATCACTAAATCAAAGTGTGTCCTTTGGGAAATAGTGGACAAATTATTTGGGACTGGAAGGAACAAAGCTACAATGGGATTGAGTCTCCAGCCTTAGTGGTTCTGTCTTTTTCTTTTCTCTCCTACTTCACTGTGTGTGTTCTGTATTAAGCCCAGTGTATTGTTCTCCCCACACTCCCCAGCACGGAGCTTGTACTGGGAGAAGGTACCAGCAGCTGCTGTGGGGCTTCAGGGGGTTGCACTGGCCTCGCACAAAAGCAGAGGTCACGGGATCTCATCACAGGAAAACTGTCCTCAAGTAACACACAGTACAGCTGCCTTGTCTGGCTGTGGATCCCTAATGGGTAACGTGGAGACTGACAAGCTAAAAAAAAAAACCCAACAATTTCAAGTAAATGTTCTTTATGTAGGAGGAAATGGAAAAAGTCAACAGCAAACTTTGTAAGATGCTGGAGAAGAGGCTGGTGTCGGTACGGAAGGGGCAGGGTGTGTGTATCCTGGAGGAGCAGGGCTGTTCTGGTGGTGCCTGGGCAAATCGAAAACCGGGATGGGTTAGAGCCCTCCTGCCCACACGAGCTGCAGGGAACTGAAGGGCCCGGTCCCCTTCCAGGTTGCTCTGCGTGAGATGAGCTCCCTGGAATGTAAAGGCTAAACTCTCGATCCCTGCCTGGATGGGTTAGAGCCCTCCTGCCCACACGAGCTGCAGGGAACTGAAGGGCCCGGTCCCCTTCCAGGTTGCTCTGCGTGAGATGAGCTCCCTGGAATGTAAAGGCTAAACTCTGAATCCCTGCCTTCAGGAATCACAGAATCTTCTAGGTTGGAAGGGACCTTAAAGATCATCTTGTCCAACCGTCAACCTGACTGACAAAAATAGACACCCGCACAACAAACAAGGAGCATCATCACTAAACCAGACCTCCCAGCACTACATCAACCCGGCTTTTGAACACCTCCAGGGATGGGGCCTCAACCACCTCCCTGGGCAGCCCATTCCAATGCCTGAGAACCCTTTCAGGGAAAAAATTTTTCCTAATATCCAGCCTGAACCTCCCCTGGCGCAACTTGAGGCCATTTCCTCTTGTCCTGTCGCCTGTGACTTGAGAAAAGAGCCCGACCCCCATCTCTCTACACCCTCCTTTCAGGGAGTTGTAGAGAGCAATAAGGTCTCCCCTCAGCCTCCTCTTCTCCAGGCTGAATAACCCCAGCTCCCTCAGCCTCTCCTCATAAGACTTATTCTCCAGACCCCTCACCAGCTTTGTCGCCCTTGCGACAAAGACACTGAGAAGCATCTTGGTTAGGTTCCTAAATTTGATCCTATTTTGAAAGCTGGACTTTGTATCTTGTCTTTGCTTTCTTGGGAACGAGCAGACACGGGCAGCGGGTGCGGGTGTCGGGGTCCCTGGGCTGCCCCACTCCGCAGGGACCGTGCGTGGGGAGTTATTCCCAAGGATGCCCACACCTTTGGAAACATGACTGCTCTCCAGAATACTGCCTCCTCCCTGCCACTGCCTTCCAACATTTTATCATCTCAATGTTATTTATATACTTTGTCACATGCACACACAGAGGGGTAACACCTGCAGGCTGCTGTGTGGGTATGTACACTGTCCCCAACCCGGGGTGTTACCCCCCGTGGGCCACACGGTCCCTCTTGGGCTGTGCAGGTGATTCCCTAGATCTCATTATCTACTCCATTATTTTATGTCACCTGTTAACTTCAGAAGCAATTATTTAAATTTTCTTTCACGGTGTTATTAAGGATATTGAATTACACTTGGCCGAGTACAGGTCCTGGAAGAGCTCATTAGAAATATCCCTTGTGAATAATGGTTCTGCAATTATAATTCTTATTCTTATCAGTTAATTAGTTGTTAATCTTGTTAATATGTGCCACATTGCTTTTTTATTATGCTATTTTTAAAAAAGCATTGTACTTAGTAAAATGTTTTATGGCAGTCTAAATATAGTATGTCTGCATAGTTACTGTTACCAACCAAATTCATAGCCTGACATTTAGTTTGTTTGAAAATACCCGTTTTCAGTAAAACAGAAAGATGGGCATAAAGGGTCCCACCATCTCCCATCTCTCGCCTTTTCCATGATCCTGCCCCTGTGAGGCTCCAGCTGCTGCACTGAAAATGCACGGGGTGGTTATTTCATGTCAATACATTTAAAAAAAAGCTGTTCAAAATTCACTGTCCCCTCTAGACCAACAGGTGCACGATGTCTTTTTTGTTAGAGATTTGCCCTGCAGTAGGGCTTTGCCATTCTTTCAGACTGCATCCAGCTCCTCTCTGTACACGTGGAACATTCCTGCTCCTTCTCGGGGCTCCATCAGTGTCACTGCTGGCACCTTTTGGTGTTTTGACCAATTGTCTTCATTTCACGGTGACTAATTAGCAGGCTTTGACTTCAGGTTCACAATTTCCACTCGTTACGCATCCTTTAACGCTTATTACTTCTTGATTAGAGTGGATTTTTAGCTGAAAAAATCCTTCTGCTGATGGTGAAACTGTATTTGCAGGCGGTTTTTTTGGTAATTTTGACTTTTTGTGCGTAGCAGTGTAAAAATGTGCAAAGTGTTAGGGATCCCCATCACCAGAGGAACGTTGTTCTTTGCATCCTGCTGTGTGTTTGCCCCATCGCAGGATTTTTATCACTGGTGGTAATTTTGTGTTAGTCTGTTCTAATGAAACCAGCGAAGTGGCAGAGCCAGGGGCTGGGTATCTTTGTGTGCAGGAAGCTCTGTGCTGCCCCAGGAGAGGTCCTAATGTTAGAGGTGACCTTGTCCCCTCACGCCTGGTGGAGGGACCTCAGTGAGACCAGAGTTATGCCAAGGGGGGGTTCTTGTGCCAGGGAAAAGGGGACGGCTCCTGCGTTGGCACCAAGGAGCCCCCGGGCAGCGTTGGAGCTCTGCAGGGGCTGTGTCATTTGCCTGAGTTTGTAATAATTGACGTACAAATGTGTTTACTTCCACCATCATCCAGTACACAGAACGGTTTGCAACCAATTAATTGGTTTTCCCACCTCTCCCAAAAAAACATTTTTTGTGATACTTCATTGTTACTTGTGGCAAAGGTGAAAGAAAAGAACAGGGAGAAGCTGAAAGCAAGTTTTTATGGATAGACAGGGACTTAATATGACACTTACTGTGCTTTTGATCCTCCACTTCCAGTTTTCCACACTTACTGTAATTAAGTATTAGGAAAAGAAAACCATATAATTACTGTTGCAAGATGATTAACTGTCTGTACAAATGTGGCAAAGCCATTTGCCTCAATATATACCTGTATATTATTACAAATAATTTTAATTGTATTTAAAAAAATGAATACTAGTAGGGACTCCTAAGCTTACTTAGGAAAGTAGTAATGCAGAAAGCTAATTATGAAATAGCTCTTTTGAAGAAGGGGTTCTCTTCTTGGAGAAGCACAGTCGCTGTTCAAAGCCAAATCATGTTGTGGGGGAGAGAAAAGGAGGAAAAAATGGTCACAGTGGTTCAGTGGAGATCTGAAAGAGCCACCGGAGTGTGTGTGTGTGTGTGCACCTGTGGGTATATATATATATGTATATAAAATTACCATGTTATGACCTTTTCAGCTTCAGGATCTGGAGGGAAAGGCAGCCGCCCAGTGGACATAGGAGCGGATTACAAACCCCCCCTCGGTGGTAAGTGTTGTTAGAAACCTTGGCAATTTAAATGCTGCGTTTCACCGGGCGATGCCGCATCCTACTGAACATAGTCAGCTCTTTACAGCCCTGGTTACTTCTGTCCCAGTAACATTTCCTCTTTACGGTGAGCTGCTCCCACTCAAGAAGTGGTATCACGCTCCTGCTGGAGGGTTCTTGCCTGCTGTGTGGGGCACCTGTGAAAAATACTATCCTGTGGGTTTATATTTCAGTCTTGATAAGTAGATCTTGTTCCCAGTTTAGTTTTAAATGGCTGCACAAGGGTAAAATCACAGAATCATAGAATGGTTTGGGTTGGAAGGGACCTCAAAGATCATCGAGTTCCAACCCCCCTGCCCTGGGCAGGGACACCTCCCACCAGACCAGGTTGCTCAAGGCCCCATCCAGCCTGGCCTTGAACCCCTCCAGGGATGGGGCAGCCACAACTTCCCTGGGCAACCTGTTCCAGTGTCTCACCACCCTCAGAGTAAAAATTTCTTCCTGAGATCTAATCTGAATCTTTTTTCTTCCAATTTGAAACCGTTTCCCCTTGTCCTATCATTACACCTCCTGGCAAAGAGTCCCTGTCCAGCTCTTCTATAGGCACCCTTCAGGTATTGAAAGGCCGCTATAAGGTCTCTCAATTAATTTGGTAAGAACATAGTAGGAAGGAAAAAAAACCCATCTTAATTCCTTCTCCTTATTAGCACTGTGCATTGCGGGAGCCCTGCCCTGGGGTAGCACTCCTTAGTGTGACACACCACGTGTGTTCTTTCAGAGGGATGTGAGGGCTGTAGGACACTGGTACAGATTCGGGTGGTTAGAGGGGATGCCTGTAGTGCTGGAGTTTTAGCAGGGTCCCAGGTTAACTCTCCTTAGACTCTAAACTATTGCATTTTTTTATGACAACTATTGGAGCAGGGAGAACATAGATTTTTATAGACTGTTAGTTGGAAACGGGTCTGTAAATGTTAGTTGGAAATGGGTCTGTAAAGCACCTTGTAGATTTAACAATTGTACAGAAACGCAGCTGGCAGATGACAAAAAAAATATAACCAAGGGCTTCACTGGAAACCCTGGCAGATAAACCAGCTCTCTCTGCTGGTCTGCATGGTCCTGGAAGGCTTTGATGGGCACCGCTCCCTTTTGATGGGGACTTTTTCTATCTAATGAGTAACCCCTTTCTCCTCATCCACTCGCAGGCAGTAACAGTCCCCACGGAAGCCCCACCTCCCCCCTGGACAGCAACATGCTCCTTGTCATCATCGTGTCCATTGGAGTCATCACCATTGTCATCGTGGTGATAGTCGCCGTCTTCTGCACTCGGCGGACGACTTCTCACCAGAAAAAGTAAGATGTCCAGGCAGACTCTGCCCTGCCCTACCTTTCTAACTTCACTCTATTATTTAACCTTCGTGATGCTTCAAAGTTTATTGCTTTTAAATCTTGTGGGCTGTAGAAATTCTGTTCTGACAACAGGTTAGTAATGCAGTTTGAATTCTCATGGTCAGAAGACAACACGCATCAATACAGGGAAGTTTTCATGCATGTGGTGATGATGATGATGATGTTCTGCTTTTCCTCATCAGCGTTTACAGACCATCAAGAGTTCACAGGCAAACTGGGGCAGTGATTTCTGCACTTGCCCTTCCCTGGGGAGAAATTAGTGTTCAAAATACTGGGATTATCTGGCGTTTCATGTTTTTTAAAAAAAGCTCTGTGTGTTTGCGGCACTCACAGCGTTTTCTGGTGAATGTCTTGCTGGAAGTTCACGTGCTCACCTGGGAGTTAATGCCTCGTTTTGCAGCAGGGTTGGAGGCAGAATCCACCTGGGCAGAGCAGCTCGTGGACCAGGCTGTCGTGTTTCCAGCCTCCAGTCAATCTCTCTCTTTAGAGCTGGGGGAGCCCAATGGCTCAGGAGGACCCTCCCTGCTGTTCTTAGCTTGTGCTTCACTGTGTGGTGGATAATACCCCATTTTTAGACAGGTTACTGGAGTGGAATCTGAACATGGTACAGACTCCTTAGAAAGTGCCCCAAAATCCTAAATATAGGTGTGCATCTGAATTATTCCTCGTTTAGAGCATCTGGATTCAGACTACGCAGTGATGCTTCCCTCTGTAGCCTCCTGAAGGCTGTTCCTGCACGTTCTTTGAAAGAACTGAGCAGAGCTGAAAGCTTTTTTTAAGTTTGAAAAGACTCTGTTACACATAACAGATAATCTCTTATCTGTTAACGCTTAGAAGATAATCTTCACTTGCTTTTCCAGAGCCAAACCATCTGCAAAAATGCAAATTCTCCAGGAGAGGAGAGCAAGGGTGTACAGGTGATGGTCTCACAGCTGGGGGATGCGCTTGGGAGAGGGCACAAGTCATGGCTCTGTGCCCAAGAGACGTGTTTTATTTTCAAGGAGCAGAAACAACCCTGTGAAATCTTGCCTCTTCTTTTTTTTCCCCCAGTTTCTGACACCTCCCTTGCAGCAGCAGCCCAGTCAGTCACCTCCTGGTCCCTTTCACTCATTCAGCTGCAGGGTCCCGCAGCACCTGCCCAAGAGGCTCCGCTCATCAATACTTTCACCGTGTTATTTAGTCATATCTTAGCCACTTCTAGCAGGTGTGCTACCCCAAAGGGACGCCTTTTGCTGTCTCTGCCAGGGTCCAAAGTGAGGGGGGGGTGTGGAGGGCAATGCTGCAACTCTACATTTTGCTTTTCCAAAATTCCCCCATGTCACACGTCCGCCTGGCAACCCCTTTGCTGCTGTTGAGCAGTGATGAGAAAAGCACCTTCGTTAGATGTGTCCCACCTGAGCCGGGGCAAAACGAACATTCTTGTCATCAGAGTTAACCATCCTATGGGGATAATTGGCTGTTTGCACACTCCTCCTCCAGCTACAATCAGTTTGAGGTTGGTTGTAACCCCCAGAGTACGGGCGCAGCGCGATGTACCTACACTTCATGTTTGGAATAGTCTCTTAATAACCATAAGTACAGGAAAGTTAATTTTTGTTAAGGAAAGCTTGGACTGTAGAGCGCAGTTCTGCAGCATTTGAGACAAAATTCATGGCATCAGAGTTGCAGGATGTGCTTTGAGATGTCAGATGTGCTTATATGTAAAATTCAAAGCTTCCTGCCCAGTGGGGTAGCTTTTGCTCAGCTGGATACAAGATCTGAAGGAAACCTCAGTGAAAATGTGCTTTTTTCAACAAGTGAAAGGAAGCCTCACATCTAAGAACGTTTCATTTGTTTTCCTTCCCAAGGAAACGAGCTGCCTGCAAATCAGTGAACGGGTCCCATAAGTACAAAGGAAACTCCAAAGATGTCAAACCTCCCGACCTCTGGATCCATCATGAAAGGCTGGAGCTAAAACCCATTGATAAATCTCCGGATCCCAATCCAATCATGACAGATACCCCAATCCCCCGCAACTCCCAGGACATCACCCCGGTTGATAATTCCATGGACAGCAATATCCATCAAAGGCGGAATTCCTACAGAGGTGAGCGATCAACGAGGACTTTGTTGATGGTGTTTAAAATTAAATATTGCTCTACAGGCTGAAATCACTTTATTAACATACTGTTCAGTTACCCTTATCTTTTTTAGTTCTTATTTTCCAAGCAGTGAATGGGGTTTGTGCTTAGTTTATAAAACTCTCCAAAAAGAATGGATGCCATGTTTTAGTGAGAAAACTGAATACCCACAAGTTAAATAATGAATTTCCCTTGATAAATACTGATTAGTAATCAGAAGATCATGTGGTGGGTGTTTCCCATTAAACTGTTGAGAGACATGTGGGACTTTTTTTTCAGCAAACACAGAGTCAGGTTTTGGTGCTTTAACCAGCCACGGCTCAGCTCTTGAGGTGTGGGTGAGTTTTCACTCGGTGAGTGATGAACTTGTTAATTGGCTCACCCCTACGTGTGACTCTCCGTGCTGCCACTCATTGCCCAGAGCTGCACTGCCAGAGGTTTGTGTTTTCATTATGGGCTGGAGAGTTTCTCCGGTGCCCAGTAATCCTTACCCCTAACTGTCCTCCTTCCCACCTTCCAGTGGAGGATGAAAGAGCTGGTTTTATCAGTTCTGAAGAACTGCTTCCAAACAGGACAGCCCAGAAGTGGAGGGAGGAGGCTGGAGATCATCTGGTGCGGTATCACACAGGTCTTGCTGCAGCAGAAAATAACCTTCAGTGTTTTTCCCTCAGGGCATGAGTCAGAGGACAGCATGTCCACGCTGGCGGGGAGAAGGGGGATGAGGCCCAAGATGATGATGCCTTTTGATTCTCAACCACCTCAGCGTAAGTCAACAGCCCACCCACCCGCTGGCGTGGAACGGGGGGCACCCAAACAGGATGCACAGACTCAGGTGCTGCTTCTCCTGAGGAGTCCTGCTGTATCCACACCGGGAGGGTTCAGAGGTGGCATCCTGAGTCTCAGAGCATGAAGGCAGAGTTAGGTCAATGGAATAGCTGTGTCTGAGCGAGCAGGAGGCACACTCCGAAACGGAGGGAGAGTTAGGAATGTGTCCAGCCCTCTGTCTGTCTGTCTGTCCCGATCTCCTGCAGTGGCAGGTGCTTTTTAAGGCAGAGCCCATGACCTGGCTGTGTTTTGTAGCCTATTCCCTTCATCCTCTGCCAGTGTCCAGCTGTTAGACAGGGACTGCAGAGAGCTGGGATGGCTCTGTCAGGTGCTGCTCCACTGCTGGTTCCCTCCCCCCCAGACCAAACAGCCATAGCCTTTTTAGCCTCCCCTCACGAGGCAGCTCCTCCATCCTCTTCATCACTTCAGTTGCCATTCTCAGAGCTGTCTCTGACTTCCCTACTTGCTTCTTGAGATGCAGAGGGGCCAAGCTGCAAGTCCCACCAAGGTCTCGCAGAGCAGGAAGCAGCATCCTCTGCCTGTTCTCAATACCTTCCTGCTGGATGAGGAGCCTCACGATTCTGTTGGCTTTTTTGGCTGCTGTTTCCTGTTGAGCTAATGATATCAGAGATCTGTCAGGCACATCTCCAGGAGCTCTTGGCTGAGCTGTAACTGCCAGCTCTGAGTGCAGCACCACGGAGGTGGTGTTTGGGTCATTTTTCCCTCGGTGTGTTAGTGCACGTGGAAGTGATGCTGAAGTTGACCTGCCATCTCTTTGCTGCTCGCTCCATCTCCTGACGCCCTTCTGGAGTTCCTTGCCATTTGACCACCACAAAGGCCTTAGTGTAATTTCCAAACTTGAAGATGGATTTCTCTGATTTATCCCATGTCAGGGTCACTGACAAAGATAATTGATTAACACCAGTCCCAACACTGACACCTGGGGAATCTCCTGCTGACTCTCCTCTGTCTTGAAAATCGATTATCGAGCCCCTCCCTTGGCTTTGTGTCAGTGACCAGCTTTCAGTCCATAAAAGAGCTTTCCCTCAGCAGCAACTTGGTGTTTTAACTTCAGACTGGACCCTGTTCAGAGCCTTTTTGAAAATGTAACTGTGTTGTATTTGCTGGTTCCCTTTATCAACATATTTACTGTCTTGAAAGGCTGAGATTAGTAAAGCAGGATTTACTTTTACAGGAGTCATGGTTCCTCTTTGCTAAATGACCATGTTTACCTGTGTCTGCAGTGATCTGACACCAAAACACTGCCACAGCTGCTGTCCCCCCCACCCCCATCACCACCCGTCCGGGTGCAGGGCGTCCCCACTCATGAACTGGTCCCTTGATGCACTGAGCAGAAGAAATGGGCTCTGCAGGAGAGGGGAAGGATCCTAAAACCCTGCAAAACGTGCAGCAGCTTTGGCTCCACGGTGTGTCTGTTACACACGTTTATTGCACCAGGGACAGGCCACCAGAGGAGGATGAGGTTTTGTGGCTCTGGCAGAGCAGACTCTTAGAGGAGGAGGATGGCTGGTTTGTTATTTCTTATCTGTGCATTTCCCTGTCGCTTAATGATGCTTAATGACAGTTGGACAAGATGATCTTTAAGGTCCCTTCCAACCCAGAAGATTGTGCGATTCTGTGATTTGAACAAAAGTGCTGAACTGCAATTTTGTTGAGGCAGTAGAAATATCTTTTAATTATTATTATGGAATATTTTAAGAGTTGAACAATATCTCTCCTTTTCAAATGATGACTCTGAGGTGGAAAAGGACTCGACTAAACCCCTAAATAAATACACTGAGACCCTGACTTGAGAAGCCAAGAAAAAAGGGCAGAAGAGGGTGCAGAAAAAGACAAGAGGGACAGAAAAGGTGCAGCGAGGGAACCGTGGGGCAGAATTACCCAGGGCTCATCTGGCCTGAGCTCTAGACTTCCCTGAGCACCATGGTCACCTTCAGCCCCGCAGCCAGGTGTTGCTGTCACCAGTTCTCCTGTTTTATGGAACAATTTTGGGCCATTCCATTACGTTTCAACTTCCTAAATTTTTGGTTTATTGACCTGAAGTGGGGGGTTTGTTTTCTCAGCCTCTACCTGCTTTTTCAAGTGTCCTGATGACCCAATTAGCTCAGTTTGTGAGTTTTCAACTGTTTTCTTGTTTTACAGCCTTTTTACTAGAGTAGTACCCTTTTTCTTGGTTTTAAAATGAACAGTCTGATGCTCCTGGCACTCTCCCAGTTTTACATGCACAAGGGAGGAGCAGGGGATACAGTTTTACATGTATGAGGGAGGCAGTGGTGGATACAGTTTTACACTCATCATCCTTACTCCAGTTATTTTCTTAAAAGCTTTTTTGCTGTCAAATACAGGTGTCTGACATTGGATTCTGATGAATTCCTGTCCCCTGCCAGGTGTTAGGACATGGTGAATTCAGGCTTGTTTGACCCCATAACGAATTCAAGCTGCAACAAAGTCTTGCTTGCTCTTCTGTGTGTTTTTTCTCTAAACGGGGCGCAGCGTTGGATACACACAGTGTCACAAAAACTCACAGAGGAGCTGAGCTGCAGAGCGCTGCGTGCCCCCCAGAAGCAGTGTAGTGACCCCCCCCGACACTGTGGTACTCAGTGAGAAAGATACTCAGCAGCTTAGGTGACCAGTCCCACGTGGGATGAGGAGATGTGCCATTGACACAAGTGAGACAGCAGTGAGACACATTTTAGGGAGGGAACATATTCCAGTTCTGCCTCGGGATGGTTTTCCAGCTGATGTGATGCAGTTGTGATTCTGTGATTTGAACAAAAGTGCTGAACTGCAATTTTGTTGAGGCAGTAGAAATATCTTTTAATTATTATTATGGAATATTTTAAGAGTTGAACAATATCTCTCCTTTTCAAATGATGACTCTGAGGTGGAAAAGGACTCGACTAAACCCCTAAATAAATACACTGAGACCCTGACTTGAGAAGCCAAGAAAAAAGGGCAGAAGAGGGTGCAGAAAAAGACAAGAGGGACAGAAAAGGTGCAGCGAGGGAACCGTGGGGCAGAATTACCCAGGGCTCATCTGGCCTGAGCTCTAGACTTCCCTGAGCACCATGGTCACCTTCAGCCCCGCAGCCAGGTGTTGCTGTCACCAGTTCTCCTGTTTTATGGAACAATTTCGGGCCATTCCATTACGTTTCAACTTCCTAAATTTTTGGTTTATTGACCTGAAGTGGGGGGTTTGTTTTCTCAGCCTCTACCTGCTTTTTCAAGTGTCCTGATGACCCAATTAGCTCAGTTTGTGAGTTTTCAACTGTTTTCTTGTTTTACAGCCTTTTTACTAGAGTAGTACCCTTTTTCTTGGTTTTAAAATGAACAGTCTGATGCTCCTGGCACTCTCCCAGTTTTACATGCACAAGGGAGGAGCAGGGGATACAGTTTTACATGTATGAGGGAGGCAGTGGTGGATACAGTTTTACACTCATCATCCTTACTCCAGTTATTTTCTTAAAAGCTTTTTTGCTGTCAAATACAGGTGTCTGACATTGGATTCTGATGAATTCCTGTCCCCTGCCAGGTGTTAGGACATGGTGAATTCAGGCTTGTTTGACCCCATAACGAATTCAAGCTGCAACAAAGTCTTGCTTGCTCTTCTGTGTGTTTTTTCTCTAAACGGGGCGCAGCGTTGGATACACACAGCATCATATAAACTCACAGAGGAGCCGAGCTGCAGAGCGCTGCGTGCCCCCCAGCAGCAGTGTAGTGACCCCCCCCGACACTGTGGTGAGAAAGATACTCAGCAGCTTAGGTGACCAGTCCCACGTGGGATGAGGAGATGTGCCATTGACACAAGTGAGACAGCAGTGAGACACATTTTAGGGAGGGAACATATTCCAGTTCTGCCTCGGGATGGTTTTCCAGCTGATGTGATGCAGTTGAGGATGTGGAGGTTCAGGACTAACCCCAGCTGTGACAGCCCTTGGGTACCAGCCCTGCCAAGTTCTCCTTTGAGCCCTGCCTATCTCTTTCCTGGGCCTGACATTGATTTTGTTCAACTTTTTATCCTGTTTGCAGACACTCTGAGGGCTTCCAACTGTATGTTTCTATTTTATAGTAAGCAAAACTTTAACATAGTGTCTTTAGCTCCCTTTTTGCAGAAGCTACAGAGAAAACTGAGACCATTATTAGGTGAGGCCAGTTCTCAGCCAGCAGTGCAGACAGCAGGACCATCTATTTGGTGTGTTTAAGCCTGTGCCTGCAGATACCTTCCCATGGCTTCTCTCCCCATAGCATTCAAACCTAGTTATCTACCTCTTAAATACTAAATTAGGATAATTTAGTATGTTCAATTTTATTTATAATTGCCAGTACTGGTGTGTGCCTACTTAGTTCCTTCCTAACTGGAAAACAAAGATTCTGGAAGGATAGTAGGAAGCAAAGGGCTATTTCTTTCTTAAAGCATCACATTTCTCTTTTATCCAGTTCTTCACCTGAACTTTTCCTTGAAATTAAGCAGTGCATCATGACCTGGTGCTACAGATGCTGGTGCTACAGGCTGCTTTTTAACCTGCAGAGCCATCAGATTTAGGTCTGATACCCCACCAAATCATCAGAAAACCCCACAGTTGCAGCAGGATGGCTTGGTGCCAGAGAAAACTCTCTGGGGATGTGGCTTTTCACTGGGTCAGGTTTTCACCCCGTTGCTCGGCAGCCCCTGCTTTGGATGGTGTTTCAGAGCTGACTGTGATTTTGTGTTCTTCTTCCCGTCTCCAAACTTTTAGGAAATGTCTTGAAAGGTGGAGTGTACGTGCATGATTTTTTATTGTGGCTGCAAAAACATGTGGGCAGTCTTTCGTACTGCGTGGTGTTTGGTAATGATGGAAACACTTGCTGATGTACTGCGTGGTGTTTGGTAATGATGGAAACGCTGAAACACAGGTGTAGACCAGGGGTTTCTACAAATAGAAGTAATTAAAATGTTCATGCCTGGAAAATGTTATGCCTTAAAATCTGTATGCCTCCTACCTTGCTGACACGTAGGAGAAGCCCTGCTGTCACTGCTGACTGCTGTCTCTGCTGGATGTCTGATCCCAAGATTTTGTGGGTTATTCCTCCATTTGTCAGTTCCCTGCAAGACAAAACTGGCATTTTAATCTTGCCTGAAGTGAGAATATCTGACTTTTCACAACCCCTTGACAGCCATCTCACAGGACTTAAATCTAGAACTTACTGATTCCTCAGAATTAGAGTTTAGTTACTCTTGGTTTACAAGAGGTTGATAGTGATGTAGCATCATTACTCTCTGTGAGAGAGAAATTCTTGATTACCAGCAGTTGAAAATCTCATAAACGCTGTTTTCCAGGAAATTAGGAAGTTGGAGGGTTCAGGTTTGTTTATCAGCCTCTGAGGTCAACCTGTGCTCATCGATGCCGGGGTAACGGAGCTCACCACGGGAGTGATGGATTTAGGCATCACGTCATTCCTAGAAAGTAACTTTCAAAGGCAGCACATCTGAAGAATTTCCAGAAAAGGTTCAAAAGAAAGTAACCAACCACAACCTTTTTTTTTTTTTCTTCTTTATGATGCTAGTGGTAGCATTTCCCTCCTGTGTTGAGACTCTGTCTTTTGGATGATTTTAAGCAATTCAGTGTTTTACTCTGACATAAGAACTAAATTCTGCACGTTCTTTTCTACCCAGCTGGGGAGTAGTGAGAGTTTGTTTTGCCCTTGTCACAAAAGAGTGAGGGCAAAGGATGATTTACACTAAATATAAAATTCATGTCTTGCAAACAGGCAAAAGGAAACAGCAAGATAAAAAAAGAGGGGGAAAAAATATAAAATTCATGTCTTGCAAACAGGCAAAAGAAAACAGCAAGATAAAAAAAAAGAGGGGAAAAAAAGAGGCTTTTGGTTTGAGTGCACTGGAGCAGAGCTTTATTAAGTCTGGACAGAGGGAATAAATGGAGCCTTTGGTGTCTTGTCCCCTACCCTTATCATTTGTCTTGCATTATTTAATTAACCAAAGATGCTACATTTGGTTACAATGTTAAGAAATTCAATGACAGCCAGAAATTATTTCGGAATTTGTACTCTTAAGTCTCCTGTATCAGGTCTGGCATTTCTGTTGAAATCCAGGGAAGTTCCGAAGGGACCTGAACTTCCTTTTTCTCGAGCGTAACAGAAAGTGCTTGAAAGACAGAGCCAAGAGAGAAGCACTTTCTGCACAGGGAAATGAAGAGCTCTGTCTTGTGGGGGATTTTGTTGGCGTGGAGGGAACTAAAGTGCTGGAGCGGAGTTGGGAAATTGGCATTGAAGCGTGTCACCTCGGTGTCACCGTAACTCCGCCGAGCAGTGGGCTCCGGTGCTGGTGGCGCTGCGGGAGCAGGGAGGGCTGTGGTGTGGTTCATACCTGTGTGTGCTTGTCTCTCTGTTAAGCGTTTTTCTGTCTTGTGTTCATCCACAGCTGTGATTAGTGCTCATCCCATCCATTCACTCGATAACCCTCACCATCATTTCCACTCCGGCAGCCTCGCTTCTCCAACCCGCAGCTATCTCCATCACCAGGTCAGCCCGTGGCCGATGGGCACCTCCATGTCCCATTCAGACAGGGCCAATTCCACAGGTGAGACACAAACCATCAGGTAGATTTTGCTCATTATGGAAAAATGAGTTAAATGTGTGGAAATCAAATGTCACTTGGTCAGTCTCCATCGTGGTGTTCCACGAGCGCACAGTGATGGGTTTAAGTACAAAAAAGTCCTTGATAAGGTTGAGTTTTCTGTAGTTTCTTGTGTAGATCAGATCCTTGAGACACATGATGGTCCTTGGAAAAGGAGGTTTAATGTTTTATGTGCAACTCCAAATAGGAAGATTCCTTAATCTAAGGCCTGGAGTCTGAAACATGAGATTAAATCTAATTTGGGCTACTTAATATGGTAAGTTTTTTCTAATTAGTCGTGTTTAAAACGAAGAGAGGATACAAGCCCAGATTCTCTACTGAGAGCTGACATTTGTGCATCTTCCTCAAGCACACAGAAAATTGTGGTGATTTTTATGCAGCATTTTCAAGCTCGAAGCACAATCATTTGCAAGAGATTTTGTAACGTCTCCAGCGCTCTGAAAAATTCTGAAGCACCAGTATTGCAAAATTGCAAAATCTCACATCTTGAGACGCAGCGAATTCTGAGCTTCTCTAGTTTAAGGTCTGCATTTTGATGAAGGTGCCCCAGCCAACAGTGTTGTTTCCTGGGTCCTTACGAAAGCATTTCATGAGGCTGGAAATGCCCAGTTGGACAGACGTTAGCGGCAGAGGGCTCCCTTGGTGTGTTTTTCTGCTGCTGAAGTGACAGCTCTCACAGTCTACATCTTCTGCACGTGGTCTGAGTAGGATCACCATGCCCTAAATTCAATATACCATCTTAGGTGGATCTCTTAGATCAGGGTGGAGCCTGCTGCAGGCAAACAAATGAAGCCCATGATTTCATTTGGTGAGACACTGGCCCAGGTTGCCCAGGGAAGTTGTGGCTGCCCCATCCCTGGAGGGGTTCAAGGCCAGGCTGGATGGGGCTTGGAGCAACCTGCTCTAGTGGGAGGTGTCCCTGCCCAGGGCAGGGGGTTGGAACTCGGTGATCTTTGAGGTCCCTTCCAACCCGAACCATTCTATGGTTCTATGATTTTAGCTTTCAGCAAGTAAAGAGATTTCAAGTCTATCTCAGGAAAAAAATGTGGCTCTTTTAGATGCACTCCTGTGGTACCTGCTTAATTGTACCTCTTGAAGAATGCCAACACCATGGGTAAAATGAGAATGAAGATCTGCGTTCCATGCTGTTTATCTGAGGTCATCTTAGAAGGAGTTGTTGAGTTAGTATTGTACCTCTGGAGTCACTCAGTCCTGTTACTAGACAGCTGTTGCCATCCACCTTAAAGCAGGACATTTACACAGAATTGGTGTTATTTGTGACACGGATCGTTCGCTGTGAATTCACCTCTTCGCTTAGAACAGCGATCTCAGAAAAGGTGCTTGCAAACACCGCTGTGATGTTTCCATCTGACCACAGAGAACATTTCTGTTAAAGAAAATAAACACCCTTTTTTTTTTTTTTTTTTTTTTTTCCCCCTTTTGTCTGTTGTAGAATCTGTTCGAAACACACCCAGCACGGACACCATGCCGGCGGCCTCCTCCCAGCCCTGTGCTGACCTCCAGGACCCCGAGAGCTCCGCGGGGTCTTACCTGGCGAATGCACAGGAGGAGGATCCATCTCAGAACCTCCCCACGGCCCACGTCCGTCCTTCCCACCCGCTCAAGAGCTTTGCGGTGCCGGCGGTTCCAGCGGCGGGTCCCGCCTACGACCCCGCGCTGCCGAGCACGCCGCTGCTGACCCAGCAAGGTGAGAGGGGGGACACTGGTGAGGGACACTCCCACAAAGAGAAAAAGGAGGTTCTTAGGAAGAAAAGAGCTTCTTCTCAAGAGAGAAGCTCTTGAAGGGGCAGGGGCTAGAGTTGGGCATCAAAGGGAATATGGCAGAGGCTGGAGTGAATTCTGTTGGTGTGATTTTCAAGGTCCTTTTCTTTTATGAACAGAGATAAACTAGAGCAAAATTCAAATTCAGCACTTCATAACTTGAACCGTTCATTTTCCTCTAATAGAGTCCTTTTTATTCTCTTACTTTCAAGAGCTTTGCAGAAGAACTAATTAACTGAGGCATAACTATGTACCAATTCCTTTTCAGCTCCTAACCATCCAGTTCACTCGGTGAAGACTGCCTCCATCGGGACTCTAGGAAGAACTCGCCCTCCCATGCCGGTGGTGGTTCCCAGTGCCCCTGACGTGCAGGAGACCACCAGGATGCTGGAGGACTCGGAAAGCGTAGGTACTCGTGCGCTGCCAGGGCCTCTCTTTGGCAGTGCTCACCACACGGGGTGAACCTCTCTTTAGATTCTTGTAAACTTCAGTAATGTTTGTGCCGAGACTTGCAGAGGGCAGTGAGGCTCCTGAGGGCCACCACTGCCTGTTAAGCCATCTAAAACCACCTAGTGCAAATACCTTCTACACGAGGCAGCAAATTCAGAGAATAATCACTTAATTAGCAGTGCTTTCTAAATGTGAAAAGTACTTCAGAGCCCACCTTCATTCCTAGTTACCCAACCCTGACCAGAGGTGATGCTGCCATCTGTTCCACTCAGTCAAAAGCTGAGAAACCTTCGATGACGTTTTGGCTGAACGGAGGCTTTTATCTGGACACAGAGTAATGTTCTCCAAGATTTCCTTTCTTGACTCACACTCGAGGCTCCTGGTTTCTTCCAGCCCCTCACAATGAGGAGAAGCAAAGAGAGCTCCCACCTCTAGCACTGGTCTTTTACTCTCTTCATGTAGCACCTAACGCAGCTTTAGTTCATGCCTTGGGGTCCCAAACCGGGGCCGTGCCCTGCACACCTGGGTTTTGCCTGTTTGTCTTGACATAAAGAGCATCTTTGTTCACGGAGCTGAAGGCCTCCGACAGCGCCGTTTGCTTTTCTGTGCAGCTGGAGATGTTGTGTTCACGCTCCCTTTGAGATGTCGTTCATCACTGTCTGGTTTGTGATCTGGATCCCCTGAAAGTCGTGCAGCTGCAGCTTCCCAAGCTGCTGCCAAGCATCCAAAGTGTCATTGCAAATGGAAAATTTAGCATTAATGCCCAAATGGTTAAAGCCGCCACCCCAAATACATTTTTAGATACTCATAAAAGCATTCTGACTTTCTGGAAAAAAAACAACAACTGTTGGGCTTCTTTGGAAATAGCTTCTTAGAAGTGAGGATGGTTTTGGGCATGAGCTGTTTTTCTGTCACAGAGTGATGTGGGGTTGGAAGGGACCTCTGGAGATCATCTCGTCCAACCCCCTGCCAGAGCAGGGCCACCCAGAGCAGGTCCCACAGGAACATGTCCAGGTGGGGTTTGAATGTCTCCAGAGAAGGAGACTCCACCACCTCCCTGGGCAGCCTCTGCCAGGGCTCTGCCACCCTCACAGGAAAGAAGTTCCTCCTCACGTTGAGATGGAACTTCTTATGTTGAAGTTTGTGCCCGTTTCCTCTTGTCCTGTCACTGGGCACCACTGAAAAAAAGACTGGCCCCATCCTCCTGACACCCCCCCTTTCAGTATTTATAGGTGTTGATCAGATCCCCCCTCAGCCTTCTCTTCTCCAGACTAAAAAGCCCCAAGTCCCTCAGCCTCTCCTCAGCAGAGAGATGCTCCAGGCCTTTCACCATTTCAAATTGCAAGCCACTAAGTTATTGTCGTAGCTACTGTATTACTGCTACAGGAAATGCTTATTTTGAATTATTTTTTTCTTTTTTCCTCATTTTTCTTGTTTCCTTATTGCCCTTTCCTTTCGTCATGTTGTTTTTGTCACCCTCATGATTTTCTTTCTGCATGTGCTGGTCTAGAAGCTGTTTTAATATTTAGATATATTCATTAATATTCTTTCTGCATGTGCTGGTCTAGAAGCTGTCCACACGCTTGATTTGGTGCACTTTCACCCTCTGTCTAGATGTTACTCCTACTTTATTCTTTCTTTTTTTTCGAGTCGGTACCAAAAATATATACTCATTAGTTTATTCATCAACAAAGTTTTAATATTTAGATATATTCATTAATTATTTTCGTCATTAATAAATAACCACAATAAATACTAGTTAAGTTATGAGTGTTAAAAATGAGGATTAGATGGCCATTTGAATTGATGCTGAGCCTGTAGGAATGAGCCCAAGTGGTTCCCCCTCGCTGCTCTTCATCATTGTCAGCAGATAATGCCTTGGCCACAGGACAGAGAGGACTTTGCTGGGACAACCTCGATTGCCTGGTAAACTGGAGTTCATTTCTATTTAAATGAAAGGAGAGGTTGGTGTCTAGAAGCAAAGGAAGTGAGATCAGTCAGGGTCGAGGGCTCCACTTTGGGAAGGACTCCAGCTTTATGGTACACGATCAGCTGAGACTAATACCAGAAGGTCTAATAATGGACCGTAAACACACGGAGCAGAAACTCTCACCCAGGATTGTGTTGCTCCTGCTCTGGCACCAGCAGAGCTGGAGTTGGGACAGCAGGAGCTTGGCTCCCCTTCTGTGAAAAGAGAGAGCAAAGAGGGGCTGGAGAGAGGCTCCAAGAAGGTAAGGGGCTGCAAATGACCCAGTACCAGGAAAAGTCTTGGTCAGCTGAGAAAAGATTTTGAGATGAACTAGTTCATGGTGTCTGTCGACAGACGTGCATTGATAACACAAGGTTCAATACAGCTGAAGCCAGACAATCGAGGCTAAAAATGGAGATGATTTTAACAAGCATAAGGATTCTCAAACCAGTTCTATTTGAAGCGATTCCTTTGACCTTTTTTTTCCAATTAAGCTGGGAAGATTTTCCTAAAATATCTACTTTGTTTGAAAGGAAGCTGTTATCTTGAAGCAGGAATTGACACGAGGAAAACAGATAAGACGATCCCAGCCTTAAAAATCAGTGAAACTATGAATCACTATTGCGAAAAGATCTGCACTTAAAATAGAGAGTTGTTTCAAGTTATTAATTCCTGTAACTGTCGATAAATCTGCTTCTCCTTATTCATGTGTCAGGGTCGCAATCTCCCCCAGAATCACTGATCTTTTTTTCTTGTTCTGTCCCTCCAAAGAAAGGGAGTCACCTTGTTGGTACCTCTTTCTGTCTCCCACAGAACTACGAACCGGATGAGCTGACCAAAGAGATGGCCCACCTGGAAGGACTTATGAAGGACCTTAATGCCATCACTACAGCGTGACCACCTTCACCAGGACATGACTCCAGACAGTTTCACAAGTCTTGGGACTCAGCCTTGGAACACAAGGAATTGTACAGAGAAAAAAACAAAAACAAACAAAAAAAGAAACAAAAAAGAGGAAAAAAAATAAAAACCAGAAAGAGGGACAGCACATGAGAGTGTACGTGGAACACAAAGGCACCAACCCGTGCATTTGTGCTACAGCTGGTCAAAGAGAGATGACCTTTCTCCTCATCGTCCTGCAGCGAAGCCGTTGCCAAGTGGAATTGCGTTTCCCTGCGGAGACGGTGCGGGACGGGACGCGGCAGGATGGGATCCAGCAGCAGGACAAAAGGAAAAAAAAGAAGAAGAAAGAAAAAAAAAGATGGACTTGAGGGTTTTGTTTTTTTCTGGTCAGGTTTTGTCTCAGTGGTGTGATTGCCCTGCCTTTTCAGTGTTGGACATTTGCATTTATGTACAATTTTATTTGTTGTTTTTATTTTATCTTTTTTTATAAAAAGGAAAAAAATATTGTAATAAAAAAAAAAAAAGAAAAAAAAAAGAAAAAAAGGAGAAACTGTTGTTTTCCACAGCCTAGACTGACATTTGACTGCTTGTTCTATTGTGTATGAAAATTCATTGCCAGCGTGGGTTGTTCTGTTTTGTTTTTTATTCTGCGTATAATTACGTCCCCTTCTGGCAGTTAATCCATGGCCTTTTGGGATGCTGCACTGCTATTTGTAAGCTTTTTTTATTATTTTTATATTATAATTATTAAAAGCCTGACTTTCTCCTCTCATCACTGTGAGATTACCAGTCTGTTTGAATTGAAATGTAATTTGAAAGGCTTGTTTGTCGCTTTTTGTGCAGTTTCAATATTTTGAGTGGGGGGGAAAAAAAGCCAAGTAGATGGGGAAGGGGAGGGGATCCAGGGGGAGGTTCCATTATTATTGTTTTCCCGTCTTTCTGCATCGACTCCAAAGACTGAAGGAAATGAAAGCATCTTCTGTAACGTCCGTCCTTGTACCTTCAGTCTCTGGTTCCTGAGTTGCGGTGAGTTTAGAAACTTTAAAGCAAATTTCCTCAAATTTCCTCCTGGGAAGTAGGGTCCTCGCCTTTAGATGACACCACAGCTGGTTTTGGCAGCAGCACTGGGGTCTGTTGGTGTTAGTTTAAAGATGGCATCATGTAACTTTTGAAGGGACCCTTCTCTGCTGGGGGGTGCTCAGCTTTGGCTGCCCGAGCCCCCCCCAAAGCAGAGAAGGGGGACCCTTTTCTCATCAGCACCATCCGTGGCCACAGCATCCTTCAGCAGGTGGTCCAGCCCCGGGCCATGGCTCCTTAAAGGAGAATCCTTCTCTTGAGGATTCTCCAGAGACATAAGCAAGGCAAAAACGTATTTTTTTACACTTTTGAAACCATTTTAAAAGGAAAACCAGTATTAGCCACTCAGGTGCTGTTCACTCTCTGTCTAGAAAGGAAGGAAAGTGAAAAAGGAGCTCCTGTACGAGGGGAAGGGGAAGGAGAAGGGTGTTTGTTTTCTCCTGGTACAACTGCCTGGCTCTGCCGTGCTCTGGGAGGAGGAACGGCAGAAAAAGAGGGTTTCTATTTTAGCAAAAAAAAAAAAAAAAAAAAAAAACCAAACCCCAACCTCCTAACCAAACCCCTTGCCATTTTCA